CCAATCAAAACCTAATATCTAATATTTCGGTTTTCTTGGTGTAAATTGGTGAATCGTCATTCACCTACCTTTCAAATATGTTATAGCTTGGATTATGGCATACTTCTTCTAAGTTATAATATATTGTGATTAGATCCTAGCCTTAATATTACATTTTGGTGTTTTATTAAGGACTCTCTTAATATCTAAACTAATCTTGTCTTCTTCCTTCAGATGTCATCAAACAATGCTACTTCTGGCTCTAATCCTAATGGCTCCTTTACCCTTATGAACTTGTGTGGGAAAGTCACTTTTGATGGATCCAACTTCAATGAGTGGATCAGAAACATCAGGATGATTACCCGCTACGAGGACAAAGAATATGTCCTTAACAAGGAGCTTAAGGAGATTGATGAGACCACTGCAACTTCTCAGGAGATCACTGACTTTCAGGCACATGAAAGGGATGCTACGAAAGTGGCATGCATCATGATGGCCACGATGACAGCGGAACTCCAAAAGTCCTATGAGGATTTCTACCCTTATGAAATGCACCAAGATATGATGGAAAGATACCATCAAAGTGCACGACAAGAGAGGTATGAAATTATCTGCTCCATGATAACAACCATGATGAAGGATGGGGATTCCGTCACGAGCCACATGCAGAAAATGCAAAGGTATATGGATCGATTGCTGAAGCTTAATGTGAACTTCCATGAGGAGCTTGCAATAGATATAATTTTGCGCTCCTTACCATCGTGCTATGATCAATTCCGCATGACATATCACATGAATAAGGAAGAGGTCACACTCAGCAAACTTCAGGGACTTCTCAAGACCGTTGAATAAGGTCTTAAGGGGAAGTCGGTTATTAACACTCCTACTCCAAACTCCACTCCGGTTTTGGCAATTGGGAAAAGTCGAGGGAAGAAGAGAAAGAGTTCTTCGAAGGGTACAAAGGTTAGGACCCTTGATGGCTCTTCTTCAAGTGGAACCAAGAAAGGTTTCGTCACTCCTTCTTCTGATCCAAAAGAGGCTGAATGCTTCTATTGCCATGAAAAATCACATTGGAAGCGGAACTTTCCGAAAATACCAGCAAGATGTGAAGGATGGGAAAGTTAAACCCAACCATACAGGTATTTACACTATCATTTCTAATAACTCACCCCATTCTAAATCTTGGGTCCTTGATACTGGTTGTGGTATTCACATTTGTTGTGACTTGCAGGGACTAAGAAGAAGTGAGAATGTGGAGCAAGGAAGAATAAACTTAATCATGGGGAATAGGAAAGTTACACCTGTGACCAAGATTGGAGTTTATACTTTATCGCTAAGTAGTGGGTTAAATTTAGATTTGAATAAATGTTGTTATTCGCCAAAAAATGGCAAGAAATATTGTTTCCTTTCATGCATTGTATAAACAAGGTTTCACCTTTTCATTTGATAATGAAGTTGGTTCGATTAATGCTTTCTTTAATAATGTCCTTTATTTTAAAGCATTACCTTGTGATGGTGTGTATGAAGTTGTATCTGTTGTAGATAACTTAGGAAATAATGTTTTGTTTATTTATTCTCCTAATAATAATAACTTGGATAAAGCATCATTATGGCATTGTCATCTTGGACATATAAGCAAGAAACGCATAGGCCAACTCCAAAAGGATGGAGTCTTGGAGTCGTTTGACCTAAAGTCAAATGATAGTTGCGAACCATGCTTACTTGGAAAAATGACAAAGTCACCCTTCACAGGCTCGTGTGAGAGGGGTGAAGGTTTGTTGGACCTTGTACACACGGATGTGTGTGGACCATTCAAACATGCCACCAGGGATGCTAATCATTATTATTTGACTTTCACTGATGATTACAATAGATATGGATATGTCTACTTAATCAAGCATAAGTCAGAGACTTTCGAAAGGTTTAAGGAATTTAAACAGGAAGTCGAGAATCAATTGGGCAGGAACATTAAGATGCTTCGATCCGATCGAGGTGGTGAGTATCTTAGTTCAAAGTTCCTTGACTATCTTAGGGAATGTGGGATTGTCTCACAATTGACACCTCCCAGGACACCGCAGCTGAATGATGTGGCTGATAGGCGTAATCAAACCTTGTTAGACATGGTTCGTTCCATGATGAGTCGATCTTCGCTACCAATCTCATTCTGGGGGTATGCCTTAGAGACTACCTCCCATATCCTTAATCTAGTCCCTACAAAGAAAGTTGCCAAAACTCCTCACGAGATGTGGACTGGTAAAGTACCCAAACTAGACCACATCAAGATTTGGGGTTGCGAGGCTTTCGTGAGACGCGAGAATCATGATAAGCTCGAACCTCGAAGCGAGAGGTGTATTTTCATCGGCTACCCACAGCAATCCTCTGGTTACCTCTTCTACAGACCTAGTGATAATGTGGTCTTTGTAGCAAGAAGAGGAGTCTTTCAAGAAAGAGAGTTTATAAGCCAAGGAGACAGTGGGAGGAAAATTGATCTTGAAGAAATTCAAGAGTCAAGTGGTGAAGGAACTTCAAACACTAGCCCTCAACTTGAGGAGGAAACTCCTGTTGAGCCAATTGACGAATCTGTACCTCTGAGGCGTTCCACGAGAGTTAGGAGTGCACCTGAGCATTACTATGGTTTCCATATTACTGCAGAAGGTGAGACACTTATTAGTGATGGGACACTAGTAGGTCTGGATGACCCTAACAGCTACGAGGAAGCCATGGCAGGCCCCGAGTCTGCTAAATGGAAAGAGGCTATGGATAGTGAGATACAATCCATGTATGACAATCAAGTTTGGAACTTGGTTGAGAATGTACCAGGTCGTGATACAGTAGGGTGCAAATGGATCTTAAAGAAGAAGACCGACATGGATGGTAAAGTACACACTTATAAGGCTCGACTGGTCGCAAAGGGCTTCTCTCAAATTCCTGGAGTGAATTATGATGAGACCTTTTCTCCAGTAGCCAAGATTAAGTCTATTAGGGTTATGTTAGCCATAGCAGCATTTCATGACTATGAAATTTGGCAAATGAATATCAAAACCGCTTTTCTTAATGGAAAGTTGGCTGAAGATGTTTACATGAGTCAGCCAGAAGGTTTTGTCAGCAACGAGTACCCTAATAGAGTGTGTAAGCTTGAGAAATCCATTTATAGATTAAAGCAAGCACCTCGCAGATGGAATCTTTGCTTTGATGAAAAGGTCAAGGAATTTGGCTTTTCTAGGAGTGAAGATGAATCTTGTGTGTATGTCAAGGCTAGTGGGAGTATAGTTATCTTTTTGGTATTGTATGTGGATGACAAACTACTCATAGGAAACGACATCCCAACCCTGCAGGAAGTAAAGTCCTGGCTTGGGAAGTGTTTCTCTATGAAGGACCTTGGTGAAGCTACCTATATTCTAGGGATAAGGATCTTGAGAAATCGGAGTAAAAGACTAATTGGACTTAGTCAGAGTACTTACTTGGATAAGGTGCTGAAGAGATTCAGCATGCAGGACTCCAAGAAAGGAGAGTACCCATCCAGAGTAACGCCAGATTGAGTAAGACACAAAGCCCTAGCACTGAGGCTTAGATAGCAGAAATGAGTCGAATACCTTATGCTTCGGCTGTAGGATCAATCATGTATGCTATGACGTGTACTCGACCTGATGTAGCCTTTTCCTTGAGCATGGTTAGCAGGTTTCAGGGGAACCCTGGCAAGGCACACTGGACTGCGGTAAAGAATATCCTCAAGTACCTATGAAGGACTAAGGATTGGGTCCTTACCCTCGGTGGGAGTGATGACTTGAGAGTTGTAGGGTATAGTGATGCTAGCTTCCAGACTGATAGGGATAATTTCCGCTCTCAGTCGGGCTGGGTCTTTACCCTAAACGGATGAGCAATTTCTTGGAAGAGTTCCAAGCAAGAGACAGTGGCTGATTCAACTTGCAAATCAGAGTATATTGCAGCGAGCGATAACTTTTATGGTATGATACTCTTTGACTCGGGTGCCAATAAAAGTTTTATAACTCCAACATTTAGACAAATTTTAAATCATGAGACTAGCAAGTTAGATGTAGCATATGAAGTAGAAATGGCAAACGGTCAGATAGGAAGCACTAAGGAAATCTTAGATTATTGCATGTTGACATTTAACAATCACACTGTCCATGTCAACCTCATGCCACTAACAACTGGAAGCTTCAAGGACATCATTGTCATGAACTGGCTATCTCCATACCATACTGAGATCCTGTGCTATGTAAAGATTGTATGAATTCCCCTGCTTAACGGAGAACCCTTAATCATCTATGGCAAAAATTCTAGTTCAAACTTAAAGTCATATTTTGCATAAAGTATCATAAATATCTACACTAGAAATTCTATGATTTCTTGGCTTGCATTGTAGATAAGAAGAGCAAACAAAAGAAATCAAGGACATATCTCAGGTGTGTGATTACCTAATGGTTCATAGATTAAATACATACAAGTTATAATGAAGAAAAAATGATTATCACAAATATGTTTTTTCACTAATAAAATTTCTCACAAAGAGAATGGGTCCACAAAGCAAATCAAAATGATGATCACCAACTTCTATTCAGTTTTTACCCTAATACATGATGATATACTAATCTATTTTAGAGAATCCCTTTAAACCGAGGATCGATTCTAATATAATCTAAATATGAAACTTAATCCTTATCACCAAGATATCACGCTGACACTGGAGTTCTAGAGCTTGCATTGACGCTGCCACTGCTGCTGGTGCTGATGGTCAATGTGTGTTAGTTTTTGACTCATCAGATCATAAGTCTAGACCTTACAATCTCCGCTATATTTACCTTATAAGTAGAAGAAACATTAGAAGAAAAGGCAACTATGATTATCCCCTTTTTTGGCATCAACATCCAGTGAGGAGAACCACCATCCTCTTTAGAGTCATTCACAATGGCTAAGATACGTTCAATATCAGCCACATTAGCTTCAACCTTGCTAAGACACTTCCCCATTGATTCTGTTTGGTTTACTAATAGTGTAAGCTAAGAAAGAAATGTTGCTTGAAAGTTGGAAAAACATGAATCCCCCTGAAACACAACAGCAGTTTGAAGAGAGGAGATCAGCGGAATAGGAGAAATAACTTGTCGTGGAGGTGATAACGAAACTTTAATAGTAGTTTGAATTAGAGAAGACAATAGAAGAGTAGTGTCAGCTTGGCATGGAGTCGATTCATGCTGTAAAACCTTAGGAGGAGTAGGAGGTGATAATAGAGAAGAGAAAGGAAACTGAATATGCTTGTTCAATCTTGGATGATAAATATTTTTTAATTCAACAGATTGAGCTGATGCATCAACCATGATAGTATAAGTGCCAATATAAGATGAATAGTTGGATTCCTCTTGATCGTATGAATCTTCATATTCTTCCCCTTGATCATCATCCTCTTTATTTTCATCAATCGTGTCTTCAATATCTGAAAAATGGACTTCCTATTGATCATCATTATTTTATGGATCTATCCACATAATCATCCTTGGAGATAAATGTGCATCTCCATTAACAGGGTCAACATTAATGATTTTAGAGGGGAGGATAAGGAAAGGTATGGATGCTCCCTGATTAACATTGTATCCCATACCAATATGAGCTAAGAATAAAGCAAGCCAACGAAGATATGACACATATTTTTGATACTTGTGCCACTGATGCACCCAATCAGCTCATCAAAGAAAAGTTGAGTGAAATCCAGATCCTTGCTTCAAACCATGACATCTAGAATGTGTTGCTTAAAAAGATTCAATTGGTCCAAACTTCCATTTTTGTGGCCAAGACATTTTCCAATCACTCTACTCACATACTTCCAAACAATGGGAAAACGATGAAAAATGGTGAACTTAGCAGGGTCATGTTTACTTCCTTGAGGGGAGGAATCATAACTGAGTCATGGAAGAATCGTTCGACATCAACTTTCAGTAGGAGCCTTTTCATAAAAAGCAATTACAGGCAAACAGAGAACTTGCCCCAGAGCATTTGTAGAAATATGAACCATAGAGGAACCATCTCCAATAGTTCATATGATGATTTGTGTAACATTCCAAATTTGAGGCCAAAAATTTCATTTTTAATTAAGATATCCATAATATAGTTTACCAAACATTTCCAATTTCATAACAATTTACAAATAAAACATAACAACGTGTCTGAAAACCATGTCATCAAAGTAATGAAAATCAAAGTACAATCCCAGAAAACTCCATGCGGAAACCATATGCTTGTATGTATGTGATGCGCTGCTATACTGCCGGCTCTTTCCCCTAGACGATAAGGTACCTGAAGCAAAAATGGAAACTCTAAGCACGAAGCTTATTAAGTTCCCCCATCATACCGCATACCATACAATTAGATATCATGCATACTGCTGGGAAATTTTGGGGTGCCTGACCTACCCATGTCAAGCCATTTTGGGGTGCTAACCTACCCATGTAAAGACATTTTGGGGCACTAACCTACCCATGTCGGGCCGTTTTGGGGTGCCGACTACCCTCCGATCTATCTCAACTGGCAACGGGGACTATTTTACCCCTACCTGTATCATACATCAACAAATATAATCATATGGTCAGGCATGTATAGGGTACTAACCTACCCTTCGGTCCTAACTACCGAGTCATGGAAAAACTACTCCCTGCTACTACCACTAACTCATATAGCACATCACATAAGAATTTCTCATAAGCATATCACACAAGCATGTCTCATAAATATAACACATAAGCATACCAAGATAATTAAGACAATTATCTATCAGTTACTCTTGTTGGTGGGCCGACATTGTGGCCTTAGACCCACCCGTACTGGAAGTAACTCACCTCGATGTCGTGTAGTTTCTGTACTGTCCTCGGTGTGAAAGTCGGCTCTCCTCGACTCCTCAATCCCTACACGACAACCCTAATAAGTTATTAATTTGTAGTCCCAACCCCTACAAGGGTTAACTTGAATCCAAGTCAAAGTCAAACCCTGGTCAGGTCAACTCTTTGGTTGACCAGACTCGCCGAGTTGGTCCGCCAACTCGCCGAGTCCTTTCGTCCACATAATACTACAAACTCATCCCCACTTTTCGAGTCTAGCAAGAGCTCGAAGAGTTCACCTTCAACAATACTTCAGTCAATCTTCAACCGACTCAGCGAGTTCCTCCTTGAACTCACCAAGTTCATCTTCAGCATATGAATGTGTCCCGTCTACGACTCGCCGAGTTGAATGAACAACTCGTCGAGTTCATCTTCAAATATTAGGAGATTGCCTTGGACTGACCGAGTTTTCTCGAACACTCATCGAGTCCCATGATTCGCAGGTCCTTTATGAGCTTAAACAACTGAGGAACCTTCCATACTATCATCTGGTCCATCGACAGAACGGATTTGGTGGTCATTACACCTCGATTCCCAAGAACAACTCACTGAGTCCATCATTCATCATTACTATACATTCGATTTAAATGGGTCTTAACACATCAAAACCATAGATCTGGCTTCCTAATGTCCATTTTACACGTAAAGTTCCAAGCTTGGTGCACATGCAAGGGTTCTTTGGCTCAAAAAGTCATCAAAGATGATCTACAAAGTGCATGGGGCTCTCATAGCCATAGAGTTGGCACCTTTATGCCATGAGACACCTCCAATGATCCAGATCTGAAGTCAAGACTCCATATAACCCTTCACAAATCCGAAAATGGCTATGAGACAGAGATTGTGTGAGGCGCGTGCCTCCTCGGCTGTCAACTGGAAAGCTCGGCTCCTCACCACTGAAGCCTTTGTCTTGATCTTCTGTCCATTTGCAACTCGTGTTTTCGTTGGATTCGGCACCACCACTGGCGCTGTTGTTGATACTGCTAACAATCTTGGGCATCTGGCCTTCTTATAGCCCCTCTAATTGCAATGGAAGCAAATTAGGTCTGGTGTCTGAACTGTGGGGGTAAGGGCAGTACAATCCCTACCAAAGTGCCCTGTCTTGCCGCCCTTGTAGCAGCCCGACGATCCTGCCCTACAAGCTCCCTCATGCGGCATGCCGCATTTCCTGCAGCAGCTCTGGACCGGCTGGCCCTTCGACCTAACATCGGATCCCTTGGGTTTTTCCCTGAAACCCCTGTAACCTGCTCAGTCTCTACCTTCCTCTTCCTGAGGTGATCCAAATCAATCTCCCTCTCCCGCGCCCTTGGAATCGTGGAATCCAAGGTTGGGCAGGTTGAATAGCTGACATGCTCCTGAATATCAGCCCTCAACATGTCATGGTAGCGTGTCTTCCGCATCTCCTCATCCCCAGCATACTGAGGTACCAACAAGGCCCTCTCTCTGAACTTGGCGGAGATCTCCACCACTGACTCCGTAGTCTGTCTCGTACCCAGAAACTCTCTGGCCAGCTTCTGAAGCTCCACAACTGGCGTACACTCCGCCCTGAACCTGGTCACAAAGTCTGACCAAGTCATAGCCTCCGTGGCTGGGGCTCCCAGTGATTCACCGAATGACTCCCACCAATCCCTAGCTCTGTCCCTCAAATAACAGGCAGCAAAACGTACTTTCGACCCCTCCGGGCAGAAGCTCATCAACTGCGCAGAATCGATGTCCGTGATCCATCTTCTAGCTGCAATGGGGTCCGTCGCCCCATGAAATTCTGGCGCACCACTCCCTCGGAAGTCCTTAAAGGACAGTGTGCGCGTACCCGACTGGCTGGATGCCAAGTTACTCTTGAATGCTCGAAGACAATCCTCCATCAACTCAATAATCCCTTCCTTGATCGACCCGAAAATAACCGGGGTCGCCTCAAGGATACCTCTCGTGATCTCGAACACGATGAACTCGCGTAGCCTGTCATCGACCTACTCAGACCCTGCACCTGAGCCCGATCCTGATCCTGATCCAGATCATGAACCTCCTGCTCCATGTCGTGTGACCACCATATTGAAAATAAAACACATAAATTTCAGGATCATACATACTTTCGAGAGGTCTCACACACTCCCCAAGTTTTCTGGTTCCACCATACTGAAAAGATGATACTTCAGTGATGCGGTATGTAGGCTCTTATACTTGTTGCATGGTATCGAAAAATGGGAAATGTTTAACTAGAGATTGATGATAAAATGTCATAGTTTACTCAGAGACGATTATGTGGATATAAAGGTTGTCAAAAACGGAGTTCGTATGAAAAAGTTATGGTAGTTCAAAGTTAGATGAAAGTACGTTGCTATTTTGAGAAAGTTAATGAAAGTCAAAGGCAAACAGTCAATATCGGCTCATCGTGGCGTGGCTTATTTTTTCACAGCAGCATAGAGATGAAGTGAGTCATGAGGTCATGTGACAGTTAGACAGTGACACATGGCAAAGCGGTGGAACACATGGCAAAATCGGAGCATTCCTTATCACCGTTGTGTGGCGCGTAAGTATATAAATATTCTTCATTTGTGTTATTTTGGGAGTTTAAGCACATGCAGTCGGAGGAGCAACTCGAGAAGTGTTCCCGTAGGCTAATAACCGAAGAGTTATATTGGTGTACGGGGGATACCAGGGTTGAGTTATAGGATTAGTTGAGGTATCTTTTATCCTGTTATTACATAATTATGTTTATGTGATATTTCATATAGGGTTTTTAGACTCGATTATGTGTTACGGTATTTCATGATATGGTATTATGGTGTTATTACGAACCCGGTGGTTTGTTAAATTTTAATCTTCTCATTGTGAGTTAATTACCCTAATTTTTTGAGATTTTTTTATTGAGTTAACGGCTTGTGGGGTTATTGTATTTGTTGATTAAGTCGTTAGGTTATTGTATTTGAAAACTTGACTAGTTTGGTGACAAATGGTTAATGACTCTAGTTAGTGATCAGGTAATTGATCATGGTGCTTGATATAGTGATGATATTAGACAAGTTCTAATGAACTTGATATATTGTCCAAATAGAGTTGGACAAGTGGTGAATTAGAAAGTAGCACATAGATTAAATAATAGTTAGTCTTCATTGGCTAGCTAGGTGAGTAACCTTATCTTTCTCTAGATAATTGTTATCTAGATATGTGATAATTATTATGTATGATTAGAGTAGAGTATACTTTTGATTTGTTATAAATTGATTTTGTATATATTGATAAATTAGTGTAAATTTAGAATTATAGTTGTTTAACACTACATGATTTATTTAATAGAGTAACTAAGAGTTATATTAATTTTACAGATATGTTAGTAAACAAGTAAATATAACTAGGATATATAGCAATGTATTCTTATATGAGTTAGTAAATGACTATAATTAAGATATATCGTAGAATATTACCATATGAGTCAATAAGAGGTTGTAGTTGAGATCAATACTAGAAGATTATTAAACGAGTACATTTATGATGTATAATAGAGTATTACTATATGAGTAGAGAGAGAGAGAGATAAAGAAAGAAAGAGAAATAGAGGGGGAGAGAGAGAGAGAGAGAGAGAAAGAAAGAAAGAAAGAAAGAAAGAAAGAAAGAAAGAAAGGTAAGGAGACATAGAGAGAGAGAGAGAGAGAAACATGGATAGAGAGAGATAGTGAGAGGAATATATTAATACGAAGAGAGAGATATCTAGAGATAGAGAGGGAGATATAGAGTATGAGTATAGAGATAGAGATAGAGACACAGAGAGAGAGAGAGAAAGAAAGAGAGAGAGAGAGAGAGAGAGAGAGAGAGAGAGAGAGAGAGAAGAGAGAGAGAGAGAGAGAGAGAGAGAGAGAGAGAGAGAGAGAGAGAGAGAAAAGAGAGAGAGAGAGAGAGAGAGAGAGAGAGAGAGAGAGAGAGAGAAAGTGTGTGTGTATGTGAGAGAGAGCAAGAGAGAGAAAGAGATAAGGATAATATGAGAATAGAGTTAGGGAGAGAAAGAATATAAGTATAGAGTCAGGGAGAGATAGAGTATGAGTATAGAGTCAGGGAGAGATAAAGTATGAGTATAGAGTCAGGAAGAGATAGATTATGAGTATAGAGTCAGGGAGAGATAAAGTATGAGTATAGAGATAGGAAGAAATAGAGTACGAGTATAGAGACAGTGAGAG